TATATATATAGCCCAGTTAAAAAGAGTTGAGGTTAAGTATTGTAGTGAAGCGTCGGATGAACCTGGAAATTCTAATGTTGGTTACTTTTATGCGTTGCTTTCTATGTGAGACGATTTCTTATCTCCCGGAAACGAACAAAGGTGAACTTTCAGAGGTAGGATGCCGGGAACCTTCTGACTGACGTGGTCAAATGTATTGTGGTGGAACACAAAGTGCTCTGGGAGCCGGCGACCTGTCTTTCAGATAGCAGAAAACTACCTAGGGTGTCCAATTCACACCGCGACCATATACGTCTTTAGGCGCTGAAATTTTCGGTGCCTAGAGTTTTGTATTAAGAGATTTCAAACCCCGTACATACTCGGTTGCGATCCACCTGAAACTATACCTATCTTGAGTACTCTGTTGCCACTCAGTGGATCCTCTGACTTGTGGAGCCACAACTGCATATATATAAACAAGACCCGCGTGCAAAGTTGCTTCTGCACTTTGCCCTTGATAACTTATTCTGAACAGTGGTTTTCTAAGGCCGGTCACCAACTGCTTCGACGTGGTAACGTCACTGGGCTCTGGATTCTGCTGATGGAGAGGGAATCACTTAATCGAGTTAAAAGCCACGACACTCAATTAGTACTACCGCTGTTCGTTCTTGGCATCTTATTCGTGTCGTACCGCTCAGCAGAAGCTGTCTATTCCCATCGGTAGTCGTTCCCCGTTCTGGAGGCGCATTCGGATTCAGGATTTAGACCGGATTGGCTATGCCTTGTTCTCATGATAAACTGCTGTTCACCGAAGCCAAGTATCGCCCTTACTTAATGTAGCCTCGAGAGAAAGTGCATGTGATTCAAAGGAGCATGGATCCCCCAACTCAATAGTGTAGTCGTTGTTTACCTAAAACACAGCAACCACTAGTCAGCTTCGAGCTACGTACCTGGCGCGTTTGTAGATGCCGTGGGTGCATCCAGATTTTTGCCTTTTGGGAGCGGATATGGGGCTGGAACACACTTTGAGAATCAGTCTGATCTAAGAAGTCGATGAAGCTAACACCTTAACCAACGCAGCGGATTTATTTTTGATATTCAGACGTATGATCACTCTATGCATGCAGTATGATTAAGAATAAACAAGAGTTGGTGTAGAAGATTGTGATGTATAAACAACAGGTAGCAGCGGCATTTTATCCTCAATGGAAATTTGCACTGTATATGTAATCAAACTCTAGAATAAATTAGTTTTTGAACTGGCGAGTGAACCGCAAGCCTGAGACCATAAGCCGAATTCAGCCTTAAAGTAAAAGGTGAGCACCTCAGCAAAAGTTAAACTAAATTGCACGGCGTCGTTCGTGGTGCCAGGTTTCAATTTCAGGCATGTATTTGATATGCTGGTAAGCAGTAGTGTTCGGGAATATAACTTTCAAATATAGTAGGCACCCATGAGGGGCCGATAGAAATCGCTCACATGTTTCGTCGGAACTGGAAAATACGTCTTCTCCTGCTTAGATTGTTTGGCCCCACTAGTCAGAATCGACTAAGTGTTTGCAAATTTATCCCAGCACCTCCTCGATCAGAGAACAATAATTCAGTGTCATCGAAGTGGCTAGGTCGTCACCTTGGACGTGAGTCTATTCCCTGTTCATTTTCTCTGTTACGCAGTCTGTAGCAGCTTGAGCCAACTACTTCCGGTGATGAACTGACAACTGAGTGGGGGGAATTGTGATTGTTTTTATGTTAGAAATACTTCTATCAAACAAAATTACACCTGATCCTCCAGTTCATTTTGGCAGATTTGCAAATGCTTGGAGAGATAAACGTATGAGTCCTGTACAGACTTATTCACCATCACATGCTTCAGATATTTCAGTTTTGCTGACCTTTGACGCGACGCATTCTGCGTCTGCACAGTTTGTGGAATGCCACCTAAGTCCTGTTGTTTGTCACAATCCTGGTAGGTGTGCACCGGTTTCATATCAACCCCATTCCTCGATGTTGCCATTTTGCGCAGCTAGTAACGGTGAAGGAATTTCGGCTACACAACTGCGTATGCGATAACATGTTCCTCAAATCCATTTTGATTGTCGCACATTTCGCTTGCATTGCGCACGTCTGGATATGATTAAATGGACTGCGCTCGGTCATCTCACATCGCAGAATGCATAAAGCCTGTCTCGGTATTGTTCGAACGTGACAGGAACGCCACGACAACTATTTGGCTATTCGGTAACAATGATCTGGCATTTATCGAGCCATGACATACAGGTTCATGAGTGTGATCTATACTACCGGATACTAGTGACGATGCACCTCCACTGGCGTGCACGATGTTCATTGGGTGTTCGTCACTTTTCCCACATAGGTGGTGGAAAAATGGGCGTCAAGATCTCAGACTAAACGAGTTGTTTCCGTCTATGAGCTGAACTAAGGCAGCTGGCTTGTTTCAATGTGATTTGCATCTACCTGCTCCTCTTCATGTTTTTTGTTTTCACTTCAATTGTTGCGTGCAACCGCCCTCAATTTTAAGCGTAAAGGTACTGGTACAACTCATGTTGGGGTTTATTGGCACAAAGCAGAATCTACATGACGTAGTGAGCCAGGTAATATGGTTGTTATAGTGGGCAGGATATCTTACGAACTATTTTTTGTGTAGCGTAGGAGCTAATGCCTGTGTCCTTGTGTAGGCCTTACACCTTTACCGGTGCAGTCGGGCATCATCTTTTAGAAGCCAGAACAACGAAAAGCATAATTTTATTAACGACAGGCTGTGAGAAACCACCATACGCCTCCCATCGGACGTTGGATTACTCAATTTTTAGTATAAAGCGGAATGTGAAGTCGCGAGTAACGCATTCAGCCCTTTTTCTTCCAATATGCGTCAGTAGTTTGGCGAACTTCTGTAGCTTACACGCATTCGAGTGGACTAAACATCTGCTCACCCATCAGATCGGTGCCGTGTACTGACTGTCGATAAGCCCAGACCCAAACCAGACTGGTAGTCTTCGGGTACCTTTACCGAACTCAACTAATCAAATCACATTGGAAAGTTCAGTCACCTGAATGGTCCAAATGGTGTTGGGCATAGTCCGGCATTTTTCAACGTACATTCTACCTTCACTAATTCGTCTGATCAGTCATAAAACAGATATTTTTCACTTAGGTAAGCTGTAGTTCTACATGTTACTTTGATAAATCATTTTGTACACATCCACCTGGAGTTGATATTTGGTCTGACCAGTTATTTGTTGTTCTTTTCTTGCTTTTTTCGTGACAACTTTAAGCTGGAAGTTCGAAAGACTTTCTTGTACCAACTGCGCCTTCTGTGCCTGAAGTCTACCCGCTTGAAACACTCCACAATGCCCTGACTTTGAGTCAACTGGAAGCATTTTTCGCCCGACTTACCACGCACACATTTCCCACGCCATTCACATCACCTCGACACCCATCAACTCCGATCAGTTATTACGACCAACATTCGCTTTACCAATACCACGACTCCGGAGGAAGCCTTTTCTCGTCATTCCCTCACAGCACCACTCCACAACAGCTACTTTCTGTTGATGACGCACGCAGTAATCAACAAATATGCCGAGGTTCTGTTGGTTTTGAACTCGGCCGTGCAGATCAATCTAATGTCCATGCGGATTCTGACTTTCATTTTGTTAAGCTTCAAAAATCTTCCATGTCCACATCGGTCGACTCTGATGTGGCGGCGGATACCACGTGGCAGTTGGAAGATTTGAAAGTAAGGAATCTTTTTCACGGTGTTTTGAGTCTGCGTTGCTGGTCTACTATCGTAGTCTGTGTGTAAATTTGCATTGAACCCTATGAGTCTGTGTTCCTGCAGTGATTGTTCCTCTTAGTAATGGCACCTGGAAACCAACGAAGCTACTGAGTATGAACGTCTGTTGCTATGTTTAAGTCGATGCTTGCCGCATATCAGTGATGGTCTCCAGCACGTCGCTATCCAACGCCACTCATTTTCCATTTCATCTTGATGGAGACATGCCCTTGGATTTTCTCAAGCTTGTGCTCTCTTCTAACACCGAGCTGTTATGAATTTTTACCACATTTGTGAGATTCTTCGTCTCCTTTTTGTTATTAATGCACATTCCATGAGAACATGAATCTGGGAGTTGAAATCGGACAGAAATGAGTTGGCTTGGATTACATAGATGACATTGTTTTGTTAGTTTACTATCATTCGCCAACATCCGCTAATTCTGATAGGATTTGTGAAGTAGTCGCTTGTTTTGCTTTTGCTCTGCTCCTTCGAAGTCTTAATTCAGGATTTTCAGTTCTCTTTTTGTTCCTTTGGAATTTCCTAATGAAGAGCCCGAGTTTCGGGTCCGTTTACCTATCTTGACAGTTGGATAATCTGCAGTTGTTGCGCGAGTAAAACATCGAGGTTTGTAGCACCGAAAGTGAAATTTACTGAAGCTTCTTTAAAAGCGGCTTGGTGGTTGTGTCCATCGGATCCGGAGACCTTATCTGATTCAAATAGGTGACCACCGTGTACATTCATAACATACCAAGAGCCAGCTGACTGCAGCATGTCTGCAACCGGACTGTGTGATTAGTCAGTAACGGACCTGAACTCGTAGAGCAACGCATAAAGCTTATCAGGTTATATTGGCTAGTCCAACGGTCAACTACCGAGCACTTATGGAATGCTGGAGTGAACATCGCAGAGGGGCAAAACGTGGCATAATAAAAGGTGAAATGAGAACGGCTTCAGTGAAACTGGGCACTTCGCGTCCTCTTGGCCATGATGCAGATAGTGAATGTGATAATAGCGATAATCGTCTTTTCCTCCTCTATTTATTTCTATTTCAGACCCAATGAAGACATCGTCCCAGGGCTCACTGTGTTATCAACACTTGTGCTGTTTTGATGCACAGCTTGGTCACATTGACTAGACTCTGTATTAGTGTAACAACATACAAGTTGCAGATACAAGTGTTCAGTGCTTTCAACGTTGCCCCTCCCTTAATTTCAATGTAGTTCTGGGGTCCACCAGATATCCAAGGCGTGCATTTGAACAAACTTCCTCTCGCTTACTGTTCTGATTCTTGTTTCCTGTATTTTGTTTTATATTCTCTTACTCAAGAATACGTCTCCGTATGTATTGATTTGGTGAGCAGAACTAACCATTATTGATCGTCTTTGGTCCATATTTTTGCTCATCCAGGATTGGGTGGATTCTCATCGCCTAGTTTGCCGCAACCAAATCTGCCGGAAAACGCATAATAAACTCATCTATAACTATTTCTTTTGTTCGAATTCGAATGTCAAATTTTGGATGCGATTTCAACCGTCAATCCAAGTTCCAAATAATACCTGCTTGATACTGATGAAAAGGTTCTTTGACTGCAGAGGAATTTCCAGTGTGTCGTTTCCGTCTTTCCGTAACCGTATTTTAAATGCAAAATCGGAAAAGAATCAGGCTAGAACACTGGTAATCAACTGAAGACTGTAAAATTAAGGAGTGAGAACGCCATTCCGCCGTACCTATTGTGTGTCTACTTCCCTATCCGAAGTGACGACACTCAACAAGGGCTTTGTCTGTGTTTCTGCTGGTCATCACACAGCCGTTTGACTAGTTCATGCTTTTTCATCATATTTTCTTAAAATTAGTTCTACGTGTGAGCTTGCATAGATGAACTTCCTTGAACTTGCTTAACACATAACCAGACTGCCGCGGTTGATGTGGCCGCGGCAAAATTCGGTCGACTTCCGAAGATATCCGATCGAGGATATCCAATAAGGAGAAAGCAGATACCTTCAATCTGCTGCGCAAGGTAGCTTCCCTTTGGATCCATACAGTAGTGGTTGTTGTATATCTCAAAAGGATGGGCTTCGATTGATCTCCCAGGGTCAAGGCTCCTAGTTCTCTAATTTACGCCTTCAGCACTTGTTCACCTTTAAAATTGGTGTTCTTTCGCCGACAGCTAATTGGGAACACCACACTCATACACTGTTCGCACAGAAATAGAACTGGACTGCAGAAGCGTTGTATGATCACGGAGGCATAATTTGCAATGGTCTGTTGTACCATTTAGCGCCAATCGATAAGGCCCTTCGAAGTTTTGTTCACCACTAAGTAGCTAAGTTTGGCAGCGGCAGCCTTATCGACCGATCAGCAGCAGCTTGGCAAGGTATTAACCTGTCTATTCAACGATTATGGTCCGGAAAACATCACTATGTCCCTTAGCAAGGTCACAGTAGCAAGGACAATTCCCTCTCTCCATGTCGCATTAATGAAGTTGGCTGACAGAATACCCACGTAAACGTTTAAGTTCGCACTGGCAATGATTCCGTACAAGGAGTAAACGTTAACCATTTGGCATGGGTACATTCAGATCCACATTTAAAACTTCGAATTTTCCCCAATTTACACGGTCGGATGAAGAAGCACACTGCTCATATTCACTTTTTGTGATGTCCAAATAATCACATGTTGACTTGCCGACAGGTTTTAGTCCTATTCTTTTGTTTACTGAGCCACATCTGAGATGATAACAATGATAGTCGTACAGATGTAGCACACTTTCTCTGCCGTACCACATGAAGGAAGCACAGAGGCTGTCACTGCCAGATTCCCCAAGCCTAGACAGGAGCAGTTTAGACGGTGGAGTTGGACTGGAGCCAACCAACCTTTCGGCTGGTAAGTTCGCGCGATCCAAGCCCAAACAAGAACAGATCCGCTCTCGCATGCTGATGAAACTAACTCATACTCATCGCTCAAGAACGAAAATATTCCATACCCATCAATACGATACCAGAGGCGACCAGCCAGCCAAATCCCCCTTTAACCAATCAGTAAAGACCCGCGGGGTTTGTAAGTCCTGGAAAGTAAAGGATGTCACTTACCTGGGAGTTATTTCAGTCTCATTACGATACCGAAGCAAAGCTGTTACAGAGAACACCTTGTTGAAAACAGCCGTATATTCCTGTGGTAAACAGCAGAATAGCCCTGTAGAACAACCACTAACCAGGATTAAAAGGACAGCGTTTCCCACATCATCCAAAAATTTTGCTGTCAGTGATTTGAGTGACTGTTCGCACAGAGCAAATTGGTCTCAAAATCGGAGCTATGGATTGCTGATTCCGCTCCAGAGGCTCATGCATTCTAATTTTGACGTTGAATTCTGGTTACTTAGCCAATCTAGTAAGTAGTCAGGAGGATAGTCGTGGTCTGATTTACCGCGGTCCCCCAGTGAAGTTAATCATCTGAACACCCTTATGAGGACCGTTTTATGCTCCCCACAATGTGAAGTGGAAAACAGCCTAAAAAATCAACCTCCAGAAAAGAGTCACTGAATCTTGTATTAGGCACCCTTCTAGCGAAGTATAACTGGCAAACTAGTGTCAAGAGTTCCTGTTAAACCTACTGGAAGGTACTCCATGACACCAACCATTTTTAACGGCTTCCACAGCGCAATAGCACACAGTACGTGCACATTCATAGTTGAAATTGCATCCATTTGTCACAAGCTGGAAAGTAGAAGCTTTCGGTGCAATGACACGATCCAGCAAATTACTGTTGATATACTTTCACATCCGTTTCGAGGGTTGACACAACTGAAATGTTTGAAAATTTTGAATCCCTTGAAATTGAAAATTATGTGAGACTGAGTTGTTTGGATGATTGGAGGTATCCGGAAAACGAGTACCTCTTTTCAGACCTACTTTGTCTCGAGAAAAAAATTGCCAATATGCCCACCCCATTTGAATTCACTCCTTGTAAGCACGTGCATCTCGGATAGACACCTTTGAGCTCAACCGAGGGATGGGGTTGTATTTCGGATATATTATCCACGTGGACGTAATAGTCCCCGATTTTCAATTCGGCCGAAAACTTGCCAGCGTACAGTTATGTCCGCAAGGTTGTGCCTAATGCCTCGAAACGAAGGCTAATTGATTAACTTTATGTCTGCATTATTGTCCCTAGTGCTTCAATAGATTCTCTGTTAGAACTTTTAAAAGACCTCATCGTACTTCTGAGCGCAAAGCAATCAACTTGGTTTTGAAGGAACTATCTGAGAGAAGGTACCGGCATTGCCATGGAATTTCCGCTAGGTTCAATATCAGCTGGGTTTTTTTTTGACAAAAGTGAAGAGCAACTTCGTGACAATATCCCGGGTTTTCTCTGTACAATGGCTACGGTGAAGACGACCAGTTTTTCATGGACCGTTATAAATTTAATTCATTTTTTGTATTGAATAATATTCACCTCATAGCTTTCCTGGCTTACTGAGTCCTCATCCGATTGGTCCTTTACAACGACCCGATGGAGATTAGGCAGTGTTTTTTTCACCGAATGTGAGCAGCGCTCAATAAAAACACTAATCGACCAGGCAAGGAACATACACACTTCAGACGCAAATCACTAATGACTACCCGAAGGGATTTCTCAACCTACACAGCATACCAGATATACCATCTGGATTGATTATCAGTGTCCCTAGGGTAGACGTCTAAATGTGGTCCTGTTGAGAAAACTATCAGACAAAATGGAACAAATAACTCCGGCTGCTCCATTGCAACTATATATTATGTTATAATTACAGGCTAATTATATCTGGTCACTATACTGTATGTGTCAACTGTTTGTTCACCGCGGCTGAGTGAAAGACACAGGCAGAAGGGACAAGTGTCTTTCCTCTGAAGTAGTTACGAGTCACCCAGCTAGTAGAGGACAGTCCAAGCTCACTGACGGGTAAGTGGATCCGACCGTTTAATTGTGAATAGTAGTTCCCAAAGCAAATCCTATTATTGAAACTGAATTCATTTCTATTAGCACAGAGA